TTTCCAAAATTGGGCACATTGATTTAAAAAAAAAAGCTAAATGGTCAATTTTAAAAATAAAAATATTTTTATATTTGATACTGATTGGGGGTCGCTTATTTTTTTTTACAATTTTGGAAAAGTTACTGATGTTCAAAATAAACATTGGTGACAAAAATATATATATTTTTAAACATTCAATTTTCTTAGTTTCTTTAAGAAACTTTTTTGACCCATCACTGGTAATATTCATAAGAATATAAGAAAAAATTGAACCTACACCTCGCCAAAGTTTTTTGTTTTGAATGTGTACCACCAACTTCAAATACCGACAGACAGCTGTTTCGACCTTTATTGGGTCTCATCAGTGTCGGGCAACTTGGTGTAGTGGAACACAATCAAAACAAATTACTCCCTCAGCTTATATGCTCGGTTGTTAAGTCAACATTTTTAAATTCCTTCCACTGCCGCAGAGCCATGGCAAACACAAAAATTATAATTATAATTTGAGCGGGGGCAAAAAACGGTATTAATGTAAATATATATTTTTTTTTGAGCCAAGTTGTTTATTTTGAGCATAAGTAACTTTTTCAAAGTTGAGCACTTTAATTTTCAAAAAAAAACAAGCGAAATTGGCGGACCCCCAGTCAATGTTAAATATGAAAATATTTGTATTTTTAAAATTGACCGGGGGCCCCATTTAGCTTTTTTTTTTAAATCAATGTGCCCAATTTTGGAAAAGTTAGTTATGCTCTAAAAAATCTTGGCTCCAAAAAAAAAATGTTTTAACCGTTTTCTGCCCTTGTCTGAATTTTATGATTTTTATATTTAGGATAGGTCTGGGGCGGTGCACCGCGGTGGAAGGAATTAAAAATATTTTTTTTCACCAAAATATTTTTTATCATAAACAAGTTTTCTATATGTATACAGGCGTTTTCAATTTTAAAAATATTCATATTTCGCTCCACCCTAATGATCACAAAACTCCGAGATAGCTCTGGGGCGGTGGAAGGAATAAATTTTTTTTTTCACCAAAATATTTTTTTTATCATAAACAAATTTTCTATATACAGGCGTTTTCAATTTTAAAAATATTCATATTTCGCTCCACCCTATTGATCACAAACACTAAGCATTGATGCGCAGAACATCAATTAAATGTACAATGTCAATGTCAGTGCCAGTGTACCATTTAAAATCATACAATTTCTAATAAAAATTCACAAGTTACTTTGACAACAGCAATAGTAAGTTTTGTAACATTAATGAGTAGTGTCAGGAACTGTTACAGTAGTGGTCAATTTTCTGCACGTTAATTTTTATTTTGAATTGAAAATAAGTGGATTACTGTTTTGCGCCTCAATTGTTACTGTTTTATTTTCCCCGTGTAACAAAGACTTTAATGTTATTTCCATGGACTGAATTTTGAAAGCCGGATACTTTATTAGGTTTATTTATTAACTTTATTCAATATTAATTTATATTTAACTTTTATGTTATTATATAAATTGGGTACTATTCGAGACACGTAAAACCACTTTCCATTTAGAACGTCCAGGGTCTCCCTTTCAATTTTTTAGGTAAGTCAACTATCCGCTCGACTTTTTGAGTAGTAGGTGGCACAAGGGATGACAGCCTGTTGCGGACAAAAATCGACCCTACCAAATTTAACTCCCCGCACCTTTCCTGCTTTATATCTACCGAAGCGAATTGGATCCATCACCCCGAAATTGACATTTTTAACCCTACGCGCTATCTCCGCATCCTTGTCTGCCTTTAATTTATTTATCACGAGATGGCATGGAAATATACTCGAAAGTAAAAAGGCGGAAAACTAAAACTGATGTGTAACAGACGTATGCCAAATAATATTCTATTATATAAATGGAATTTATATTTATTTACATGATATATTATTTTTATTAAAATTAGTCTATAGTCAATTTAAATAGGTATACCGTACAAATAAATTTACCAAAATACTGTTTTTCCTAAGGATGTTTTAAAAAACTTTACAACAAATCTACAGATTATTTAAGAATTGGGAAAACATTAAATCGATTCTCTATTAACCTATTATGTAATTAATGTTATATATTAAAATACTGAATACCTTTTGACATAAGGAATAATGGAAAAATAATTAAAAAAATATTTTTCCAAAGATAAAGAAAAAATATGCATTAGAAGTTTTTTATATTTTTTGTGATACGCCACTGGTTACACACTTGGTTTATCTCTGCACACTTGTGTTCTGTGAATACATAGATACCAACCAACAAAGTAGCTGCGCATTGCCAGATGTAAAAAATTGTTACTAAAAATTTTCCTGCAAAAAATAAATAAAAACTCAATAAATACAAAAGTTTTATGCCCTTAAAGCTTTAATACCCTTTGTATTTATTTACTCATCCAGCTATTAGCTTAAGCAACGATTAGAAAATTTAGTACCTATTTTAAAAAATCCATAACCACAAAATTAATTTTTTCATCAGTTTTTTTCTTTCTGTTTACTCAGATAAAATTGGGACCAGTTAAAATTTACACATTTAATTTGTGTAAATAAATCCAAAAGCACTTAAGATATTTACAATTTGAGCACATAACCTAAAATTTGAAAGAAATGCACTAGATTCTGTCATAAAAGTTGGCAAATTTTGTTTGAATTTACCTTCAGTACAAAAATGACATAACCAACAATTAATAAAAACGCCAAATTGACAATTTGCATTGTTAATTTTGTCATTTTTGTAATTAAGCTTAATTTAAACAATATTTGTCAACTTTTTTGACAGATTTTAGAAACACTGTTGTTACCAACCATAACATAATAAATTAAATTAGGCAACCAGATTAGCCTAAAGTTCCTAGTCGATCAGTGACGTACTTTTTCGTAGGATAAAGGTTAATATAAATTATTTTTAGACTTTTGAATTTAGAAGAAAAATAGTTTCAGGTGCTTCTTTATGGACCCTAAGGAACAACCCATTTTAATGTATAACATTAATAACATAACACCCTGTATAAGAATATATAGGTAGTTGATTTTTTTTGTTTTTTTTTCAGGAACGGATTTATTTATATAATAGTATATTCTGTAACAAGTTTGGAATATGCAATTCCAAATGTTTTCAGACTATACTATATACAAAAAATACCATGGAAAACACTTTAAAGAATATACAGGGTGGCTTTAATGTGAAAATATAAAAAAATCTTCGGACCAGTATACTTTAGTTTTCAGGGCGACATATTCACACATTAATTTTATCACTGTAACTTCAGCCCTTAGCTTTCACCCTTATTTTTTTCAAATGGGTATGTTGTGATACATACTTTGAAAGGGCATTACATTTTATTTAAAATGTCGCTTTGTTTTTTAAATTTGTGATGCGGGTTGCCGAGAAATTTAATTTAATTTTATTAATTAGTACTTACATATTATCTTATTAACTGTTGAAAATGTCCACCATTCACCTCCATTAGAGCTGTGTACTCAAATTTTGTACTTTTTATGTACTCGGTACTCAGTACAGAGTATATTTTAAAAAAAGTACTTGTACTTGTACTTATTTAATCTCTTTGTGTGCACTACCTCGGGCACTACATATTTAAATTTATCGCCATAATTTTAATGCTTTAGCAGCTAAAGTTTAACGGTTCGGCAATATTCGAAATAAATCCTCGATGTGGGCAAGTTGGTAAAATATCATTGTGGTGCCCTACTTTATAGAGATATTACATATTACAAGAGGTAGTGCCCTTTTTTATCTCTGGTAGTGCCGTCATAATGTCATATGTAACGGTTTTTTTTTAAAGAACTTTGAGATTATTTTGCACTACAGAATCTGCATTAGTATTATTTTAAGTGTTTTGGTTTTTGTTATACTGGGGTAAGTAAGATTTTAATAGTATATTCTGTAACAAGTTTGGAATATGCAATTCCAAACGTGTTTCAGACTATACTTTTTCTACGTTTCCAAAAAATACCATAGAAAAATAATTTAATTAGAAGAAAGTGAGGTTGGATCGGTCTAAAATTTGTTAGATATTAAAAACAGAGATGTCGCCACGAGTGTTTATTCTGTCATCAGATAATAGAATATTTCATTATGTAACTCTTTACGGAATATATGTCATTCTATAGATAAAAGTGATATTAGAAGGGTCAAATTCCGTAATAGGAGTAGAAAAATATTATTTTGTATTTGGTTACCTACTTGATTAAGTTTTTGTTATATTTGGTACGCTTAAAAAATTAGGTTATATTTTTGCATTCAATCTTGTTTTTTTTTGCAGTCATAAATGCATGTTACAGTTAAATAATGTTTAGGGTATCTATTAAATAAAATATATAATAAATTACTTGCATGAATAGGTATACCTATAGGTAATAAAGGTTATACCTATGTAAAAGAATAGTTAATCTATTTTAATTTTTTTTTGTTTAAAATCGAAATAAATGGGTATTTGGAAAAAAACTATTCAAAACATAAATTGTATTAAAGAAATATAAAAATGCAGTTTTTTTAAATATCCCTAAGTGACCTAAACCTGATATTTTGTTATGTTTAACTTTTAACAACTTTTTTTGCTAGATACTGGAGTGCGTTCATAAAGGAAATCTGATTATAGGGTGTTTATCTCGTGTGTAATGTGAGTTTTGCGCGGAGTGTTCCTAGGGTGCTGGGTGGTTTTTGAACGCCTGACATTTCGATTGTCACAATTTGCGTTTTTGACGTCAAAGTTAACCTCATGGAGGCAGCTATATTTTGTTCCAGTTTGGGCGTCCAAACATTATTTGAAATTCCAATTGCTTTTTCTGATTCAGACGACGAAAGTAGTAGCGATAACGATGAAGTTATGTTGTTAATGGTTACTCGGAGTAGAAAGTTAAAGAAACCACTACGTATTCAAAACTATCTTGAGGTAACTGTGGCAGGGTATACAAATGAAGAGTTTCAACAACACTTTCGAGTTACAATTGAAGCTTATGAGCAAATGTTGCGACTGGTTGGCCCTTATTTACTACGAAGCGGTGTTACAGGAAGAAGCACCATCGATGTAGAAAGACAATTGTTGGCTGTTATCTGGCTTCTTGCAACACCTGATTCCTATAGGTAAATCTTTTAATGATTTATATTTGGTATTATCATGTGTAATAATTTTAGATCAGTAGGAGAAAGATTTAATTTAGCAAAATCTTCTCTCTCAAAATGTTTTGTGCGAGTAATCAAAGCCCTGAATACTCTGGCACCAAATGTGATTCAGTGGCCACAAGGGGTTCAACTGCAAAATATTAAAAGAAGGTTCTCTAATATTGCAAGGTTACCGGGTTGCATAGGTGCTGTTGATGGGACTTACGTGGAGATAAAGGCACCAAAAGAAGATCCCCAATCCTACATAACACGGAAATGCAATTATGCTTTTACATTGCAAGCAGTTGCAGAAGCATCGCTAAAATTTACTGACGTATTCATAGCGTACCCAGGCTCTGTAAGTGATACTCGCATATTTAAAAATAGTGATTTATATGCTAATGTAAGAGACAATAGGGCTCAGTATTGTCCTGAACAATGTTTTATAATTGGAGATAAAGCTTATCCAATTTTATCCTGGTGTATTCCACCTTACATTAACAGGGGCAATCTTACTGCAGGTCAAAGATATTTTAACACTGTACATGCCCAAACAAGACAAGTAGTTGAGAGAACCTTTGCACTTCTATTTGGCAGATTTCGACGACTGAAGTTTCTTGATATGAATTTCACCCAACTAATCCCAGCGACAGTTTTAGCATCATGTGTATTGCACAATGTATGCTTAAATTTCCCTGATCCTCATATCAATGAATACATCCAAATTGGAAACGAAAATGTAATACCAAATGATGATGAAGAAAATGAAGCTGCCAACCAGGCTATAGAAGGAAGAAGGCGACGGGATGGACTTTGTCAGCAAGTCTTTGCTGCTCGAAATAATTAATTTGATTGTATGTTCTTACTAAAATATAATTTTAATTCTTACTTTGGTTCTTATTGAAATAAACTTTTAATGACAAGGTGTGAAATATTTTTTTTCAACAATGTTGTATTTGTTACATCACGGGAGGTTCAAACAGGGAGGATGGTGTAAGAACATCATGATGGATCACCATGTGGGGGAAGGGTATGTTGTGACAATCATGTTTATTTAATTTTTTTCATATTACATTTTTTTACCACCATTTTTTATTTGTATTTAATACTATTAAATAGTTTTTTTACAATAATATATATAATAACCTCTTTACGTCTTCTAGTTTGTAAACCTTCATGTCTGTCTGAAAACATTAGAGCTTTAAGCTTTAAGGGCAGTGATATCATGATATTTATATAAATATCATATATATATCCGATATATATCAAGTTTTGATATTTATTTTTTAATAATTTGTTTATCCAAGAATATTTATAGTAGGCTACTATTGGTAGCCAAATAAAATTTAGGACTTTGTGATATTATATCAAGAATACTGAGGAGATCTAGAAATACCCCCCCTAATAAACAATCCGTGGGTTATTACGATCCTAATTGTTTAAAATAAATGCATTCAAAAAGCCATGTAAATGAAACTAACATTTAAATTTAGCGCAACGGAAATGCCTTTGACATAAGAAGTACCGGCCATGCCATTGGTTAGAAAGAATCGCGTGTTTAGGTGGGAAAAGGTAGGGGAGAAGAATGCGAATAGTCAAACGGGCAATGAGCAAAGCCGAGCAGCGACAAGGGTTTTTAAAATTGGTGTGTGTGCAGAAAAGTGTTTTAAAAATGTAGGTTTGTACATTTAAATAACTAAATTATTGTAGTATAAATATTCCCGAGCATTTTGGTATAATTAGTATACACAAACAACATGTGTAAAGATAAATATTCGATCAATTGACTTGGCGTCATCGTTCGATCTCTTCCGCCATGATGGCTCTTGTTTTCAACAAACCACGCACCTAATTAACTAAATAAATTTACGTTTAAAACTAGGTATTTCTTATTATAATTTATATTCTAAGTTATAAACAATTGGTACGTGTATTTTATCTAATAAAAGGCAGGGATTTTTAACGAGTAATTATCAAATTAAAAGAGCAGGAATTTACGGAGATTTTATCCAATTAAAATAGGCAGGACCGTATTCGATTTAATTAAGCTAAATGTCAGGGCAGTACTTAAGATTATTTAATTAATTTTAATAAATATTTCAAAAGGGGATTTTCTATAAACGCTGTGTAAATTAAGTGTATTTAATATCGATTTTCTTGAATACGGGATTTATAAAATTGTACTCGCAGATTCACATTTATGTCCCGTAATTAGAAATTTTACCAGTCATATTTAAATATTTGGTATTAGTTTTGGAGTGAGTAGCAACAGTGATTGTACGATAGCGACATTTGATTTATCCACTTTCCGTGGAGTCCTGACATTTGCCGTGGTGTTATATTTCATTTATCACTTGGGGTGTAACTTTTACAGATTCTTTGCTGGGGGGGGGTTGTGTACGCTTACAATACTAACACATTTATAACAACTTTATTATTGGTTAATTAAATAAAACAGAAAATAAAACTATATTCTAACAAAATATCAAACAAAAAGTATTTTTCTCCAACAAGTAAAGCTGAGTTTATGCTCCCAAATAATAAGAAATAAAAATTAGTAATGCATCAATTTGATTTCTTATTACTTATTTTTATTTCTTATTATTAGGGAGCATAAACTTAGCTTAAGAATTAATCAAGTTGAAACACAAAATCTTATTCGCCATTTTTTGTTTTAAAGATATTAATTAATGTATCCATCTTTGCACTAAATACATTTATTGCCTCTTGACGCAAGGCTACAGTTTCTTGGTGTCGCTGATTTCGGTGGGCTTCTCTATTTTCGGCACCCTTTTGGATAATCTCCATTATTGCTTGCACCGGCTTTTTATTTTGTTTTACCACCGATGATACCTTGCTGTGCACCTTACGCTTTTTGACGGCAGAACCTGAGGTTTCTTCTTTGTCCTGCTCTTCTTCAGAATTTAAGCCGGCGACCTCTGGAAAATCTAAAAGTGTACGTTTATATTAACACATTGACACCATTATAGACATTATATCTCTAAATCACATTTAACCTACCAGTGGCACCTTTGGATGACGACGCTACCGCAATTGGGACGATTGTATGTTTTTTTCCTAGAAATAAATCCATTTTTTCAAAATATTCAAAATAAGTTGGCTCCTGTCCTGTCCCTTTAGCACCCATATTGTCTTTTCTAGCAGTGTACTTAGCTTTGAGGTATCTCCATTTATCATTGCATTGCGAAGAGGACAAACAAAACCCCATCTCTGTCATTTTATTAGCCAACCGTTTCCAAACAACCTCGTTCTTCATTGTTGTCGAACGAAATTCTCGATCAAATTGTTGCCTTAATTCAATTAAACATAGAATAGCGTCCCGGGTCCACCTTATTCTTTTATCTCGACACATAGTGCTAGCCTCAGTGCTGGCACTAGTTGATGACAAAGCATAACTCTGATTTTGTGGGCCACTCTGTTCTGTGGGGCCACTTGAATGTTGTACTATCTGACTGGGTGATAGTAGTACCAAAGACCCATCCCCTGATAAATATAAATATTTATAGTGATTAATTAAAAATATTTATTAGGTTAAGTGCTTACCCATGTTTTGATAACATAATAGTCCCTCCTCGGTTACAACGGGTTCGCCGGTTTCACTTATAACTTCGCGCAACTCCATTTTCAATCTCAAATTTTAGCTATCAATTTGTGACACAGAAATGATTTATGCAAAAAACAAATGTCATGTGAAAAACGCCGGTGTTGTAGAAGCGGTAATTTTCGAACACTCCGAGTGTAGAACTAGGTATTTTATGAACGGTTACACAAAATGTGCACAACGCATAACATCCGTTTATGAACGACCTTGTGTGCTGGAGTTTACCCCGAGCGTTCTTTATGAACGCACTCCTGAAACCTAAATTACATTTTAAGAGTTTTTGTACTTTGTACTTGTACTCGTGAGTACTTTTGTATTTTTTTGTACTTTGTACTCAAGTAAATTTTTTCTCAATTATTAGATATGGGACCCACACCAAATTTATATGAGTTTATAATGACATTAAATAAACAAATTTTGCGCTATCAGAATTTAAATTGAAGTTTGCGAAAAAAAGATAACTTTTTGTTCGGCCGTACCGGCCCCATGGCGCCCCCAATAAATGTAATATAAATTTAATTGGTGCAATTTATTATTTACCATAGTTTATCGACAAATTTCAAATTTCATTTAAAAAATCCAAATTATACACATTTTATACCATATTAAATGTTTAATATTTCTTTTCAAAGTAAAATTTGGGATTTCAAGTACAGGGTGTTTAAAATATCGAATATATTTAGTTTTTCTAAGTTTTAAATACCCTGTAGTTACGTGAATGTTATTTTTTTTACAAGCACATTCTTTTTTTTTATTGTAAAATCTATCAAAAATTGTAAAGATTTTTGTTAAAATTTGATTGTTAAAAAAATTATATTAATGTATTTTTTATTTTACCCTTTTTTTATTTAAGGACCTTTGTTTAGTCTTGTTTGATTGTTTATAATAAACTAATACATGCTTTCATAAATTCATTGTAGATAAAATATTTCATTTTAACTTAGTACCTAACAATGAAATATTTTATTTTCAAGAGGTGTTCTCAAAATAAATGATGGAGTATGAAGTAAGGTGCTAAAGAACAACAAAGCGGAAAAAGAAGGTCCTTTAAATCCTTTAATAAATAGTAGTATTCAAAAGTTCATTTATCACCCTTTTTCAAAGCTCGCTTCATTGTAAAATCGGAGCATATTTCCAATAAAACTTCCACTTGTACTTGGACAATAGATTGCACTTACTAACACTAGTTCGATTTATCTTGGGCGTCTGTCAGTAAAGTTTTTCTCCAAGCGAGCCATAAATTGCACATTATAATGCAACAATAATGGGCCAAACGCATTATCGAAACATTCGTCGACATATTAGTCCTGTGACGTTTGATTGACAGGACTCCTGTGTGTCCGTCATATTTAATTTAATTAATTTCGTTTAATATCAAAACTAATTTTAATATTTCCGAGCGTACGTAAATTTTTTTAATTTTATTGAAAGGATAATAAAAAGGCTGCAGGGTGTATTTTAAGATCAAAAGTTCTGCGCGACAATAACTCAAAGGAGCCGGGGAGGGCAAGGAGGAACGAAGGAAGAGAAAAAAATCTAATTAGAAAATATAAAGGCAAATGGGCGAATTCAGACATAAAACTAAAAGTTTATGTAAGGAGCAAAAGTCCCGGAAAATGTCACTGCGCGCTGAAAGTTTGCCAAATATTTTTAGGGGGTAGTAATGCGCGAGCCAGTGTTTCAATAAAGACCTGATAAATGGCGGGCAGTTTCGAGTGCAGGCTTGCCAACTTAAATTCGCCGCGCGGATTATGATTATGACGTTGTAAAAAATGTTCGCCGTTCTCTCCTTTGATAATAAAAGAAAAGTCATGGGGCACGGATGCTGAATGTTTTCCTCCACGATCCGTAGAGTCGCATAAATTATTCCCCCCCTTTCGCTCCGTCACTGAATTTAACCCATAAAGGACCTCCACTAGTCCTAAAGTTTCGGAGTATTTTTTCCTTTATATCCTTGATATTACAAGAATAGGTTTAACTTTATTCCCATCTATATTTTTACTCTAAAGGTCGTCGGTTTTTGATTAACATTTATTAAAATAAAAAAAGAAAGTTTATAACTTAAGCATATCAAAGACAAATAAATGGTGACAGGAAAAAGTGACATATAGACGAAAGTAAAACTAAACTGACAGGATATAGTACAATTGGACGCCTTCAAGTATCTTGGTGTAACAATAAGTAAACAAGGAAATAACGAGGCAGAGATAAATATCACAATAGAAAATGCAACAAAATTGTACTACGCACTAAATAACGACTCTACAAGGAAAAAGGAAATAACAAAGAAAACAGTATACAGTGCGGATAGTATGCTACTTTTTGACGTGAAGTGCCTTGAGGCTGTATCATTTTAAAATTTTTGTTCTACTCCCACCTTTAAAACGCCCTTTATCGTACATGTTTCCATGACACTAAGTGACATAACATAACATACACATTGACAAGTTGTGGCTTTATGGCGCTTTAGTCACGGGCTGAAGTTAGAAACAGGTTTTTATTCACGGGCTGAAGTTAGTTTTAAGTTAGTTGACAGTTGTCAAATGTCATACAACCGTTAAAATAAAGTGCCCTTCTTGTAAAATAATACTAAATGTGAAAATTATTTTTTCTACTCCTATTACGGAATTTGACCCTTCTAATATCACTTTTATCTATGGAATGAAATATATTCCGTAAAGTGTTACAGAATGAAATATTCTATCATCTGATGACAGAATAAACACTCGTGGCGACATCTCTGTTTTTAACATCTAACAAATTTTAGACCGATCCAACCTCACTTTCTTCCAATTAAATTATTTGTCTATGGTATTTTTTGGAAACATAGAAAAAGTATAGTCTGAAACACGTTTGGAATTGCATATTCCGCTCTCGTGAAACCGTCAAACTCGCCTTCGGCTCGTGTGACAAACTCTTCACTCGAACGGAATATGCTGTATTCCAAACTTGTTACAGAATATACTATTATTATCTCAATACAAAAATACAAAAGTATTAAATAATTTCTTAACGCCAATATTTGAAAAGTTTATATGAACATTGTACTGACCTTTTAATTTCGCCGGCAGTAAACTATAACTTATTTTCGGACACGGACTCCACTGTAAAGGGCTCATAAAACATTTTCTTTACTTTCACTGTGAAAAATTGTCAATTTTCAAGAAATGCATTTCGATTTATAACCTTTATAATCTGTGTTTATAAAATAAAAAAATTTGACATTTGACGGTGACACACACTATTGTTTCATAGATGGCGCTCTATACAAATTTTTGATTTAAATCATATTAAGATAATAAGTATTTGTCGTAGAAAAAGTATAGTATGCACCTCGTTTATAAACTTTTCTATACACTCATTAATTTAAGAACTCGCTCGCAAGCTCGCTCGTGTCTAAATTAAATTCGTGTATAAAATGGCGTTTATCAAACTTGATACATAATATACTATAAATGGATATGGGTACTTGTAATTCATCAAGTTAAAGGTATTTAAAATTTTAAAATTTGTTTAAGGGTTTCCAAGTTTTTTAAACTAATAAATTTTCTTGCCGGCCTAGGCAGCTACGTTGCCTGTTCGATAAATTCGTGGTGGTACGAATTATCATTACATCATTACGACCATTTAATTTTTTTGCCAGTTTTTGTTTTTTTATGTTTTGTAAAAAAAACTCTAATAACTATAGTTTTTAAGTTTTTGTATAAAATAATTGTACACTTTAGTGTAACACTATTTATGAGTTGTGCCTGCAATTTTACTTTTTATTTTGTTGAAAAATGGTTTGCCCTCGCCCATTGGAAGAAAAAACAAAAGCAATTTTTATTTATGCTGGACGTATTTTGCACCAATCAGAGAGGGTATTTAATGAAAGGTACCCAGAAACACTATTTGCGGAAAATATCTACGGTAGTAAGTGACTAAATTTTAAACAACGGGAAGTGTGAGTAGGCAGAAAGGATCGGGTAGAAAATCAATCTCAGAAGACAAATAGAAAGTCGATTTTGTCCTCAATAATCCACAACAATCGACGGCGGCAGTTGCTGGGGATTATAATATAGCAAAATCAACTGTTTAAATATTTAAAACATAACAAATTTTATCCCTATAAATTAAAAATATTATATCAACTTACTAAAGATTACCCGAATCGCAGAGTACAATTTTGTGAAGTTATGTGTGAGCGCATAATACAAAATCCCCTGTACTAATCAGTTTTAGCGATGAATGCACTTTTTTTCTAAATGGCACTGTAAATTGGCAAAATGTACGTTACTGGTCAGATGTTAATTCACATGTTTTTCGTGAATGATATAACCATTACCCACAAAAAGTCAATGAACAACAAGTACTTTATTTTTGACATGATTATACTTTATCTTGTTTTTTAACCACCCTGTATGTTATTTGGAAATTTTTTAGATTGATATGGAGTTTTCAGAATAAGCAAAACTTTTTATGAATGACTTTTGCTACTACACTCTTATAAAAATCAGATTTGTTAACATGAGTTTGTAGTTTGTTAAATTTATTTTGTAAAATGTTAACATAATTTTTTTGTAGAAAACCAGGGTTTGTAAATGTTAAACGTTGAAAAAGTACTCGTGATTTCAGGC